AAAAAAAAAAAAAAAAAAAAAAATCATAACTAAATCAATTAAAATGATAAGATTTAAGTAAGTAAATTTAAATATATACAATATTCGTGGTTTTTCTATCATCATAATTCATCATCACAAATTACTATATTCAAGCCCCTCCGACTCGTGACTCTAGATAGAGCGACATACAACTGCTTATATTGAATACAAGGGTCGACATGCGACAAAGACTGTCATTGACTCTTATTAATTGTCATAGCATAAGAAACCATGAGCGAGAACTGTCGGCGCCTAATCTTGAACGATACCTTCAAATCAGATGGTAGGATTGTGAGTCGGTGAATAAAAACATTGTCATTAGCTCTGGCACTTATTAAAAATTCTGCATTCGAGGACATGGCTGCTGAGTTAGTATACCAATGTGTATCGTTGGTCAACCCAATGAGTGATCAATATTTGTGAGCAGCATAACAGGAATTTCTTAGCAGCATAAATGGAGTGTCGGCCTTCAAGTGCAGCTTATGATATAAAATCCCGAGCTCTTAATCCCATTGAGAAATTCTAAAGTATAAAAATCTTGAAGAGAGTCATATCCAGTATCTGACTTACAAGGGGTGTCAGACCTCAAAGTTGTTCTTTTTGGATGAGTTCAATGAGCTCATGTACTCGTTAATGGACTCAATGACATTAACAGTCAGAGCGAGTATAGCTCTACCTTTGAGATAGCTTAAATTGTCGCCTGAACTCTTGAATATCGGGTAGGTACTCTCGTCAAGTATCAATTAGATTTACTTGTGATTTTTAGAAGAATATCGTTAGGAAAATCGATGTTGGTGCAACCAGTTCAAGAAAATGTATTTGAATGTTGAGCTTACAACAATAAACACAATTTTTATATGGATTCAATGGAGCAGAGGTCGCTCCAATTGGGAAAGTAACCGTACAAGTGGTGTTGGAAAGGACAACCAAAGGAAAGTAAAAATTATTAGGTTCTTTGTACGTAGTCAATCTGAAATAATCTTGTAACGTAATTTTGAGAAGACCAACATTCAACACATTTCAAGCAGTAGTATCAACCTACCATATGGAGTTAAAATTTCAGTTGGAGTGTTAGTGGGAGAAGCGAAGGGTGGCCAGAAGCTTTCACGAACTTGTTACCAGATAGCAGTACATGCAAACCAGAGAGCTGAGGTTAAGGAATGAAAACATCCCGTGAGTGGAGACAAGATAAAAACAAAGCAACGACCTCGAGCCACATGGGGAGCTGATGGAAATACTGATAGAGGAAAGTTCAGATCAAACGACTAAAATTGAAAAAGAGATAGGTGAAGAACTAAGGGGACAACTGATTGAGCTACTAAGGGAATACAGAGAAATATTTTCCTTTACACAAAAGTGTTAGAGGTATGCTGTAAAATCTATGTTTCGCAGATTCTATCAATTCCATTTTGATCTGGTCATCATGGTTCGGTCAAAGTACATATGCTTGCATTTTATTTATTTATGCAATCATACTCCTTGATTACATTTAGATAGTGTGGTTCGAAGTGTTTCGAACAGAAAGATCACCTATCGGTTCCTTGTAAGACTAAACTATTCGTTCACAGTCTAGACAGACAGTGAGACCCTCTTGGACAAAGACTATAATGTATTCTTGATTCAGTTGGTCTTTGACTGGAGAATTACATCAGTACTTGTGATAGGTGTTGAACAGGACCACATGAGGATAAGATTATGAGACTCACTGATCATTGTTGTAATCTAGACCTTCAGTAATTGATGCGTACTCTTAAGCTGTAAGATCATATAAAATGTGCATATGTATTCATTACTTATTTATTTGATTTATCAAGAGCGATTCCTATTTTGCTAGGATGAAATACTCTGTAGTTTTATAAATAAGTGTGTTCATATGATGTGTCGTTATAAATTATTTACGGTCACTGTGTCCCTTGCGCTGGGTTGATGACGTCCCCGAAATAAGTTCAGGAATGAATATTATGTCAAGCCCTGCAGGCGGATGTGTTCCGACATAATGATTAAGGATCTGAGTGGTACTAGTTTCGGAAATGAATAAAAAGTTGATTATATATTTTTTCAGTAATTTAATTAATCAACGGACGTTATATCTTAAACATGTGGAGATAAATCCGTCAATTAGACTAATATATTTAATCAGTGGAGACGAGTTAATTGTAATTCAGAGTTAAATGGGGAGAGCAATAATATTACTCTAGTGGAATATTTTATTATTTCTAAATTAGGAATTAAGAATTAATTATATTTCATATTTCTTTAAGGATAAGAATATTCCTTCTAGAATATTACCTAGGGTTATAAGGAGACTATGGAGTCTTCTAGAAGGTAATTAAATATTAGGAATATTATCCTAGATGGGAAATGGAGATGGAAGATCTTGATTGTTCATGAAATAATTTGTTCAAAATGAGTTATTTTGGTTAACCATAGTTAATTTTAAAAAAGGTAGTATTGTTAGTTGTTAGTAGAATTTTGAAAATATATTAAAATAATATTCAAAATAAAATGAATAAAATTGATTTGATATAAAAGTAAGAGATAAATGATTTGAAATGATTGGAAATGATAGGTAGTTAAATTATGTGAGTGGATGAATAGTGAATTAAAGTTGATGTGATGAATAAGAATGATTGGTTTGTATTATTTAATTATATGAATAATATTAAAGATAGTGGAGTTGAGTTAAAGTTGAGTTAGATTTTGCGTTGAAATAAAAGTGAGTAAATTAATTAGTATATAATCAAGCCCTAAGGATTCCTAAACCTAAAGGAATAAGCTCATATTTAGCACCTCCTTTTGGTCTCTATTGTAGCCTATAAATACACTAGGTCCCCTACCCTCTTGGAACATGATCACACGTTTTTCTCCCTGAAGGGCTGGCGAAATTCGGCCTCTTCAAGTGAGAAAGAAAGAGAGATATTCTTTTTCGAGAGAAAATTCGGTTAGCACCGTAAGGTCTTAGATTAAGATGATAGAGAGGTTTTGGGAAATCTAATAAATCGCTCCACCAAGATTTATTAGAGATCGTGTAATACAATAGAAGATTCGAAGGTTGTTGATTCGTATCCCGTTGATTATATATATGTGTTCATCCCGTCGGATATATTCATTCTTGCAGCACCTCTGATGGTCACCAAAACAGGAGAGGATGACGGAGCATCAGGAGTTCACTGGCATGATTACGGTGATCAGCCATCGC